ATTTATTAATGAAAATACCACGGTAAAATCTGATCATGACCCTTAAAACAATGGACAACACTGTACTACTTATCGCTGAACCTCAAGGCAAATAAGCTATTTTTAAGTTACTAATACACACAGAATCGATGCGCACTTTTCAAAACGAAAACGGTCCCGCGACTGCTTCTGGACATATACCGCACTGGCTCTATCACGTCAAAAAAAGATCACCGATACTTTCCAGAACAGTGTGCAGTCCGATAAATCTTTGATGTGATAAGCCAAAATAGAGGCAAAGAACACAAGGACAGTTCCTTTAAATAGGAGTTACTTTTGAGGTCGAGTAGGTATTACTGACGCATTGTGTCGTTATAGAATAACATTTTGTTTCGTTGGTCGTAATTTGCAGGATAGCAGGTAACGCTGTGGTCTGAATAAGTATGAACGTGAAGAAAGCATGGCTGCACCGGCTAAAACGCTAAACTTTCGCCTACATTTGTCAACGACTTCCGGCATGGTCAGCGACACATACCTACCGTTACAGAAGTAAAGGTCAAAATCGGTTTGGAATCGATCGCTCCGCTTGCAGTTTAAAGGTCCGTCAATTGCAAATCATTGCTAAAAATCTCACGGGGAAGGGTTTATACGTGAAACTGAACCGGAACTTTCTAGTTATTTCTTCATGTAAAGTTGTCCTGTCATGTTTTCCTTTGCCATTTTCCGTTTTTCTTGCTTTATCACTGGCGGAGCTGGACGCTAGTGGTCTCCTTTGGGAGACACTTATTAAACGAATTAACCTGAACAGGCACTAAGTAGCTAATACCGCAAGCATGATGAGTTGCCTAGATTAAACCAAACTTATAGATCAGAAGCTTAAGGTACAATACTGATTATTACATACAATTTTGCACACTTCATCAACTCCTTGTGCTCACTGACTAGAAGCTTAGGATATTAAATAAAAACGAAAATTAAGTATTAGAGTACGCGTACGTACGGTGGTTGCAAATAACGCATCAGTTCTTTTAGGGTAAGTTCATTTGCGTTTGCTTTTTGGAATGCAACCAGGATCTTAATCTCCGTTTTCGTCTCCAGTGCCAAATTGTACGCAGGTTGTGACGAAGCGTCATCGTAGTCTGAGCTGTCATCGCTCGAGCAGGCTCGCTTTCGTTTCCTCGTATTCGAGCTGGTATCCCACCTGACAGCCTCCTTCGTAAATCGATCTACTAAGCAAAAGGAAAATTCGTCCCCAAACGACTGCAAAAACGTTTTGAGTTTCTCTTTAGTCGGCACCATCGCTCTTATCACTTGGTGATTTTGACGATGTATGGCAAGGAAAACATCCTGAAGAAGAATAATATCTCTTCGGGCAAGCTGAAACTGCGTTTTGACAAAGTCATATAGGATTTGTCTTTGCTGGGCTGCGACCCGTTTCCGGTGGTATGAACGATTGCGAATCTTTGGACGGTGGTCCACATCGGCGTAGTATCGATGGGTCAATGGACCATACGACGTAGCACTGCCGGAATATGACATTGATCTAAAATGTACAAAATTACAAAATTAACACATGAGTCAACACGCTGTAAAACAGCCACCTTTAAAGCGCAAAATAGCTCGCCGCCACAGAGCAGGCTATTACGAAATCTACAAAACGCTATCGAATAAAACAGTAACCGTTAAGCCTCAATCAGCCAGGCGCATTTGCTTGAACAACGATTGCGGCTGTCGGCAAAAAATAATCCCGCAATAAATTAAACACAAACTTCCAGAGGGCAGAACATAACGAGAAAAGTCAACATAAAATAAACGTCACCCTGCTCAGTGACTCATGAATAGACTATTTACAACCGAGTTTCTTTCTTTCCTTCCAAATTACTGAAAGCCCTGTATAGGGGCACTTGGCCGACGCTACAGCTGTATACGAGGAAACAGCTCAAATCGACTCAGTTTTCTGATGAGCTTGCATGCTGATAATAGGCTTACATCATAAACTCGGCCGTCACTGAAAACAGTGGATGGGCGAGTGAAAGCATTCACCATCACCGCAAACAGACTTAAAACGTTGACTCCGCTCTTTCCACACTGTCCGCCACGTCTCAGTCGAGGAAACTACTCTAAACATAACTCAGCTGCTTACAATAACTTCATACCGCAACAAAAAATTATCAAAAAGAAGAAGTAACAGCGGTATCGGCAATGAGTTTCTTCACCATAGCGAAGCAAAGAGCAGCCCCGCCTTTATATCTTCTCCAGCAAAGAATGCAGTGAAGCAGGTGTCACCAAGTCACTTTGAGGTGAAGACAATGCGGGCATCACCTCATCATCTAAGCAGCTAACAGAAGATACTGCGCGGAGAAGCAACAGTGGCAGCACCTCGAGGGTAGAAGCAGCGCGCAAGGGGCTGAACCTATATTCGCTGTGTGTTAAATAGCAGATCCAACGAGCCGCTGCACAATGCCGATGGTTGTCGGAAATGACAGACTGAACACCTCGCAGTGCTTTTAATAGGCCTTTTATTGAGGTAAATTTTGAAAAGAATGAGGACAATGACAATGTTAAAATGTTTACTGCGCCCCATCATCAATCCAGGAAATTCAGGAAGAGCCCGCGAGCGCGAGGGGATTAGGGCAGAAATCCTTAAGAGCAAATACGAAAAAACTTCCAAGCTAAATCCATCTGATTTTGATAGGAATACAAACAGCAATAGGTAAAATAGATCATATATTCATTAGTTACATATCACTTTACGTAAAACTACGAAAGAAGCTATATAAAACGATTATGAGGCTTAAAGAATTACAAACCAACAGTTTCACGGTACGCAAGGCGAAAAATGACAAGTCGATTCGCAGGTCCGACGGCAACCTTCTTGATATTCCGTTTCACTTAGTGAAACTGGATTTATGAGGCAAAAACTCCCTTTTTTGGTTACAGACATGTAAAAGGATCATTTAAGCAGGCCCAAATTTCATCATGTAACCCCCTCTTTAGCGCACTATGTGTAGTCATCATATAAAGATAATTACTCAGCAAGTTTAAGAGCGACTACTTTTATTACACACAGAAAATGCACTCGAAATTGGCTGCTCGACCTTCTTAGTCGCATGCCCCCTTCTTTCGGCCCAGAGCGAGAACGAATTCATGTGTGTTTCATCGAATTATGCAAACTGCTTCTGGTTTTCAAATTTCCACGATCGTTCCGTTCAGCGCCCAGAAAAGAAAGAAGCGGCAAGGCTTCACCGCCTGGTGCATCTACCACCGCTGAACTTATACAATCACGTTCTCGTGAACTTTTTTTGGTAAACGTTTGTTGCCTACTGAATTCCTTATGAATGCTAGGCGGAAACTTCGATGAAGTGGCAGAGCGTGCCGATGATCGATATGTGGGATGCTTCTTCTGATATCGGTTGGTCTTGCCATCTTGATCCTATGGCTAGTATTCGATTGATCTGTAGCGGCAGGACTTTTAGGAGTATCAATTTCAAAGTCTTTATTCTTCCATCTTCGGTCATGAGTGTGGCAGCGTTGTTTCGGATGCGCACGACCTTGTACGGTTCCCTTTCACACAGATCACTAAACTTAAAAAGTGGGCTCAAACGATGGATTAGAACCTGCAGATACGCCTTGATTCTCTTTTTTTCTGAACATGCGTTGCTTCTAAGCGTTTCTGCATCTCTACCGCCAATATTTGTACAGTAGCGTAAAGCAAGCGCATTTTTTGCGCATGGTTCGCTAGCCACAGTTGAGCTTTTGACTCGACGGAAGGAAAGTGGACTGGGATCTCATGCGTTCCTTAAACCACCACGCTCAGTGGCAATTCTCCGACCTGAACACAAGCTGTGCTTGGTCTCCCAGCGATCATCGTATGTGCTGGCATATGGCTGCATCGATTCCTACCCGTGATTCTGCGAGCCAAGGTCATCTCTCGTCGCCATATAACTCTGTAAGTTAAGCACTAGGTTCAAGCGGACCACATCGG